ATTATATAGTACTAGGTTCTAGCGTAAAAAAATGTATGAAGATACATGGTTCTCTCCAGATAGAACGGCTGAAAGACATCAACGCTGCTGGAGCTGAAGGCCTGCCAGCCAAGCTATTCAAGTATGGCGGCGAGGAGCTGATAAGGTGCATGCATCACTCTTATGCAGAATATGGTCAGATGAGCGCATGCCCGCGGATTGCAATTTAAGTGTGCTCTGCCCACAAGAGAGGTGACCCTGCCATACGTGACAACTACCGCGGCATTAGCCTTCCTGGAACCCAACGTCAACGAACTGGTTGGGTCTTATCAGTGCAGTGGCGGACCCGGGTAGGGGAAATTGGGGATATTTTCGAAGGTTCAGAAAACAACGATAATTCCAAAATTTTGAATTTTATATTATTAAATTTCTTGAGATTTCCAAAATTTCAAAAACTATCGAAATCCGGGAGATTCTAGAAATTTTGGTAAAATGAGAATATTTTGAAATGTACAAAATTATTGAGATTTTAGAAATTTTCTATATTTTCCAAAATTTTGAGAATTTTATTTATCCTAAAATCCATCCTAAAACGTAAAAGTTTGAAACATCACAAATTGTCGAAAAATTCTTATGTTCATGTACTTGTCTGTAAAAAATAGAAAATTCTTAGAATTCTGAAAGATATTAACATTTTTGAAAAATTCCAAAATTGTTCCACTTTTCTGGACTTTTCAAAATTTTGTGTTGATATAACAAAGTTTGAGAATTTTTAAATTTTTTGAAAACTTTGAAAACATCAACGTCCAAAAATTTTTTTAATCTTCAAGAATTACGAAAATTTTTTAAATTTTCAAAAACGACGAAATATGAAAATGTTTGCAACATTCGAAAACTTTTAATTTCGTTTGATCAATTCTGTATTATCGACACTTTTACTTAGAAAAAATTTGTTAAAATTCGTACAATTCTCAAAATTTTTGAAAAATAAAAAATTTCTAGAAATCTAGTATTCATCATTATATTGAATTATTGAGATTCACTAAAATTTCTCAAACTCACAAAGTTTTGAAAGTTTAGAAAGTTTTGGAATTCCACTCAAGTTATTAAAAAGAGGGAATTTTAAGAAATTAAAAACTAACAAAACTCTAAAAATTTTAAACTGCGGTGATTTTTAAATTTATGTACACGATATATGTTGAAAAAACACATCGACATAATCGGTAGAAACAAGGGCTACTTCTGTTCTGCCTTCTCGAGATTAGACAGAAGCAAAAATAAGTATCT